ACACCCGGTTGGAAAATAATTGAGGCAATGATACCTCATCTCTCCCATGAGGAAATTGATGCTAAAACGGAACATTGAGCAGGATGAAAATGTACTAAATCGAAATCGTACCCATAGTCGTCGTGAAAGAAATCCCTGGCACTCGAGGAGTCCGTGGAAGGAGCGCGGGCCGGCGTTGGCTGAAGGCTGTAGACGACGAGTACATATGACAGTGAAATAATGGTGCCAACTCGCGCACCTGGAAACAAAATCATCCCACTGCGGTTGTACAGTGTTGTCCCACTGCGTGCTCGGTCGCTGCGGCAACAAAGAAAGCGACGCGGCATCCCAGGAGTCGGCTGCTGAGAAATCAGAATGGAAGGCTCGCTGTGACGCGCCAGGAAAATCTGGAAGATGTTACAGCCACGTAACCGTGAAGAATGCCATACGCACCAGTAGGTAAAAGCGGTGTAGGGTGCCCAAAATGGGTGACATCGATGAAAGGTGTTGCCATCGCTGATGGAAAGCCAGAATCGGCTGGGGATAGAACGTGAGGGCACTCGTGGATACTGACAGCTGTGAACGTACCTGGGAATGTGAACTTTGGCAACATATCGGCAGCGGGAGCCGAATTGCCTTGCGCCACTGGTAGCCTGAATGAGAGGTCATTGAAGGCGAATGAAATGTGTTGGCTAGCATGCATACCGCCGCTGTGCCTCGCTGCCGCCGTCCCAATATAACCCGGAAAGATAAGCCTCATCCATCGCCGCTTGCGAGAACCTGTGAGAACATGCTGTCAGTTTCAAGCGCCCGATATTGGCCGGGTACGCACTGCGACGCGGTGGGGACGAGTGCGGGGGGCAGTCGAGATGATGGTGGGGGAGGAAAAGAAGCTACGTCGGGCGCATCACTAACCCGCGATCACCGATCGGACGGCGGACCGAATATAGGCTTCTGACGAACTTGCACTCCGTCCTGACGAACTTGCACTGTCCCAGGCACACACGACCGCTTCCGACGAGCTTTCCGTCGCTTAGCTTTGATCTGACGAACTTTTGCCATCAACTGACGACCTTGTGCCATCAACTGACGAACTTGCCTATCCTACGAAGTGACGACGTATACTACGACTCATAAATGAACGTGGGCGCGGGCCGTCCGCTATCGGGCTTTCCTAGCCCTGGGATTTGTGGGGAAATTGTGGAGGCTCGGCGACGCATGCAGGAATTTGGAGCGCAGGACAAAAAGTCCACATCGCCTGGATCAGAGCCCGACCCCGAGTCGAACGGGAATCCCACTGTAACAGCAAGACGTCACTAATGAACGTGGGCGCGCACCGTCCGCTATCGGGCTTTACTTACACACCACAACGGCCTTCGATCCATCCTCGATTTAATGGGGGTTGCCATGCACCGGAATTGCCCCCCACACCGAATCAACCGCGGAATATAGAACAACCCTCTGCTTTTGTCAACGTAGATTTCAAAACCGTTCAGCGCATGGGCAAAATAAAACAGGATGACTCACCAATAGCCCGACCCGAGTCGAATGGGAGATCCCACAGGTGCCGGTACTCGCAGGAACTGATGAATCGCGCATCGTACTATCGGGCTTTAATTACCATCTGGTTGGCATACTGAAATTGAGCCCCCTGCACGGAATCATCCACTCGAACCAAAACGGAATATCAAACAATACTCTGCCTGCCACTTTGTCAATATACCTCTCAGAATCGTGCCGCCCAAGGGTAAAAAAAAGCCATTCTCACTGTGTAATAGCCCGACCCCGAGTCGAACGGGAGATCTCACGGTTACGATTTCCGGAGTCCGTCAAATGAACGTGGGGGGCGGACCGTCCGCTATCGGGCTTATACTTTCCTAACGAGTTTGATCAGCATGACATCTCAGAACCGTGCTGCGCAAGGGCAGAAAAAGCAATTGCCGCTCTTCTATAGCCCGACCCCGAGTCGAACGGAGGATCCCACAGATATAATCCCTGCCACAATTAATGAATGCGGACGCGGACCGTCCGCTATCGGGCTTTACTTGTTAATATTGATGCCTTTCTATGCCATACGATTTGCATACGGGATTGAGCCCGAAATTGAGCGAAATTGTTCCCAGCGCGGAATCATCCACTCGAAACAATGCGGAATATGGAACACCCTCCGCGCTGTACATCGTTCAGCGCATGGGCAGAAAAAAGGCATGGGCCTCTTTTATAGCCCGACCCCGAGTCGAACGGGGGATCCCACAGGTACAATCCTTGCAGTGTTTAATAAATGTGGGCGCGGACCGTCCGCTCTCGGGCTTTCATTGCCTTGGAACGAGGCTTGATTTATGGGCAGGTTGACGGATGGCATGCTCAGCGACATACGTACTTGGGAGAATAAAAAGAGCGACACTGGAAGATTAGAGCCCGACCCCGAGTCGAACGGAGGATCCCTCAGGTGCCATTCCTGCGGTCAATTAATGAGCGTAGGGGCGGACCGTCCGCCATCGGGCGTCCCTAGCCCTAGAATGCTGGGGAAGTTGACTGATGCTCACTGCTCAGAGCCGTCCGTACTTGAGAGAATAAAAAAGAGCATTGCATATGGACCATAGCCCGACCCCGAGTCGAACGGGGGATCCCACAGGTATCATTCCGCGGTCACCAATTAATGAACGTGGGCGCGGACCGTCCGCTATCGGGCTTTCCTAGCCCTGGAATGCGGCGCGATTTATGGGGAGGTTGTGGGGGCTCGGCTTCGTGCAGCGTGGCGGCGCGGAATATCGAACAGATGTACATCCAGCGCACGGGCAGAGAAGATACGGAGACCCATCGAATGGCCCGGCCCCGGGGCGGACGGGGATCCGACAGTACGCGCGATCCTGATGAACCACTCAATGTGGGCGCGGACCGTGCGCTATCGGGCTGTAGTTGCCTCTCGACGTCACGCGATTTGCGTACGGGAATTGGGGGTGGACGGGCGAGGCGGGCGGGGCGGAGTGGGGCGGGTGCGCTCGATGTAGTGGACGATGGAGCGCGGGCGAAGCACGTAGACGCAGGCAAGAGGAGCAGGGTGGGATGCACGAACGTACGCAAGCAAGCAAGGAAAGCGAGAATGCATGACGAGGGGATGTGAGCGAAGGCATGCAGAGACGGCGGGGATCGCGTCGTATCCCCAAGCATATCGTGAGGCTCGAAAAGCTGAGCTCGTGCGTCGGCTCCGATTCGTGCGACGAAAGTGCACTTCGAACGTCCACTAGCATCGGCCCCGCAATGTTAATTATAAGCAAGCACATAAAGAGGGGAAACACGGGTAAGATAGTACTGTCTGTCGCCAGTCCGCCGCACGTCCCGTCACACCGCCGCCGCCGCCTGCGCCTGCTGCCTCGCGAACTCCGACCCCGGATCTCGCACGAGGGCGGGATTTGGGCTCGGCGGCGGCGGCTTCCCGCTCCGCGCCCTGAAGCCCTTCTCCGCGCCCGCCTCCGCCGGCGCCTGCGGCCCGCGCGGATTGCGCACGACCGCCTGCTTCTTCTCCGCGGCGGCGGCGGACGCCTCCTTGCCGAAGATGCGCTCGCGCGCCTCCTGGTAGCGCGCCTCGCGCGCCTGCAGCGTCTCGCCCGCCACCAGGGGGGCGGCGGGGCCGACGGGCCCCGCGGGCGCGGGGCGCTTGAGGATGCGCATCGGCGGCTGGAAGGCGGCCGCGGGGGGCGCGGCGGCGGCGTGCGAGGAGGACGGGGAGAGGATGAGCGCGGGCATGGGCGTCTGTGCGTTTCTGGTTCGCAGCATCGAATAAGTAAATAAGAGGGGGCTAGGAGGGAGGTAGTGAGACGCACGCAGTGTCCCAGATGCGCTGGTTGTCCTCGGGCTGGTCAGCGTCGTCGTCGTCGTCCTCCCAGTCGTCGCACACGGGGATGGCGGCGCGCGTGGCGGGCGGGGCGGCGCGGCGTGCGGAGGTCTGCAAACAAACGAGGTGGCGCTCGATAAGCATGCCCGGATGCGGACGGAGGGACGCACGGATTGCACGGGTTGGTCCCATTCGGCGGTGGTCATGGTGCGAGCGGCAGGTGAGTGAAGCGGTGGGCGAAGACGAAGGATGAGGAGTGAATCAGAAAAGCGGAGGCGTGTTTGGTCATGTTGGGTGCGCAGGGCACGTGGTGGACAACCTTGAGCGCAAACCAAGAGGTGAGTGATCGGAAGATCCTGTCCTCTGATGTCAAAAGATTCCTGATCTCCGATCATCTCGCGCCAATTCGGCACCGGTCGGCTGCTCGGCGCTACTAGTAGGGAAGAAATTGTGGCCAATTAGCTCTCCTAGAGAATGCATACTTATATTCTCAAGTAGCTGTTGTGTCTTCAATCCACTGCATGAACATGAATTTATTCTGTAAATACATCCTCGGAAATAGTGTTTGACTGCGAAATACTGGGTTTATCGAGCAATGTCACAACACGCGTACCATCTGCGGCACGAGAAATTTTGAGGAAGCGACAATGAGAAATGAGGGAGCTTTGCGTCGCGCCGTTTGGAGACGCGACGCGTCGTGGTGGTGCGGTGATGGCCTGCTGATGGCCAGATGCTGCCGATATTGGTACACACCAAACACTTTCCTTATTCGGGGGGTAGGGTACCCCGTGGGAACGTTGGTCAAGATCTTCCGATCAAGACCCTCTTGGCGCAAACCACCACCAACTGGAATTTGTGATCGCGGAGGATGCTCGTTGGCTGTGGATCTGCACTAGGCATTTTCATAGCTTCTCGGAATTCGCAACCCGTAGCGCTGCTTGACCAGCTCACGACTGGGCTTCTGTGTTTCAGGAACTGGTCTCTGCGCTCTCAGCAAGAAATGACTGGGATGATTCAAAGAAACGGAAGATAGCCAACGCGCAGCGTAACATCCTATCCAGCCGGCTCTTTCTCATACCCCTAACTCTTCCTCGGACCATCGCTCCTACCAACCTCGCGCGAAAATCTGGGTCGTGTCTCACGCCTTGTCGTCTCATTCAAGTACGCGCACACTCAACATGCAGAAGGCCCGGTAGCGGATGGTCCGTCCCTCCATTCAATTCGTGGAGTCGAGACGTACTATTCTGAAGGTGTCGCTCGTTCGAATCGAGCCCGGGCCATAGATCGTAAAGAAGTCAATCTCTCTCTCTTTTTGCCGTTCGGGGATGCGTATCTATTTCATACGTGGGGGATACAGGAAAGGCCCGGTAGTGGACGGCCCGCACCGGCATTCGATTGATTGGGATCCTTGGACTATTCGGACTATTCGAATTGGCGCGCTCGTTTCTGTTTCCCCCCGCAATGATGTCCATCCATCTCGTGCGCAGGCGATACGAGAAAGGCCCGGTAGCGGATGGTCCGTCACTGCATTGCATTGCAATCTTTACAATCACCTGCTGTTCCGCGGGAGTCGCTCGTTCGAATCGAGCCCGAGCCTTGCACTGGGCCTCAAGGTCTCTTTTTTCCTTCTTTTTGCCTCTCGAGGATGCTAATGTAATCTCGTGTGCAGGTGATACACAGAAAGGCCCCGTAGCCAATGGTCCGCGCCTGCATTCCATGCTTCGAGCACCTCGCGGTTCTGCAGGCGTCGCGCGTTCGAGTCGAGCCCGGGCCCTTTCCATCTCGCGAAAATTTTCTCCCTTTTCAACAAAACGATGCCCATCTATTCCATGCGTAGGCAATACAAGAAAGACCCGGTAGCGAATGGTCCGCCCCTGCGTTCCGTGTGCTCGGATTCCCCATTCTGCAGGTGTCGCTCGTTCGAATCGAGCCCGGGTCATATTTCCGTCTTCCGATTGACTTTTTTGCCCCTCTTTCCTGCGAAACAAGGCCCATCTAATTTCGTGCGCAGGTGCTACCAGAAAGGCCCGGTAGCGGAAGGTCCGCATCTGCATCTCATAGTCCGGAAACCTAGATGATCGCAGGAGCCACTCGTTCGAGTCGAGCCCGGGCCCTTTCCATCTCGCGAAGATTTTCTCCCTTTTCAACAAAACGATGCCCATCTATTCCATGCGTAGGCAAATACGAGAAAGACCCGGTAGCGAATGGTCCGCCCCTGCGTTCCATGTGCTCGGACTCCCCGTTCTGCAGGTGTCGCTCGTTCGAATCGAGCCCGGGTCATATTTCCGTCTTGCCATTGACTTTTTTACCCCTCTTTCCTGCGAAACAAGGCCCATCTAATTTCGTGCGCAGGTGCTACCAGGAAGGCCCGGTAGCGGATGGTCCGTCACTGCATTGCAATCTTTAAAATCGCTTGCTCTTCCGCGCGAGTCGCTCGTTCGATTCGAGCCCGGGTCATATTTCGGTTCTTGCGAGTTTTTGCTCCTCTTTCCTGTGAAACAATGCCCATCTAACTTAGCACCCAGCCCAGGTAATACCGGAAAGGCCCGGTAGCGGATGGTCCGTCACTGCATTGCAATCTTTACAATCGCTTGCTATTCCGCGGGAGTTGCTCGTTCGAATCGAGCCCGAGCCTTGCACTGGGCCTCAAGATCTGTTTCTTCCTTCTTTTTGCCTCTCGAGGATGCTAATGTAATCTCGTGTGCAGGTGATACACAGAAAGGCCTCGCAGCGGATGGTCCGCGCCTGCATCCCATCGTTTGGACACCTCGCGGTTCTGCAGGAGCCGCTCGTTCGATTCGGGCGCGGGTCATATTTGGGTGTGTCCGCATCCTTTTCCCCCTCCTCTCCTGCGAAATGATGCTCATCTATTCTGGGCGCAGGCCATGAGAAGAAGGCCGGTAGCGGATGGTCCGCGCCTGCGTTCCGTAGCTTGAGTGGCATTCAATTCCGCAGGAGTTGCTCGTTCGATTCGAGCCCGGGCCCTTTGGAACTAACGAGGATTTTCTCTCTTTTTCAGCGAAACAATGCGCATTTAGACATCCTCACAGGTAATACCAGAAAGGCCCGATAGCCGATAGTCCGTCCCTGCGTTCCATAGTTTGGACACCTCGCGGTTCCGCAGGAGTCGCTCGTTCGAATCGAGCCCGGGTCATATTTCCGTCTTCCGATTGACTTTTTTGCCCCTCTTTCCTGCGAAACAATGCCCATCTAATTTCGTGCACAGGTGCTACCAGAAAGGCCCGGTAGCCGATGGCCCGTCTCTGCATCCCATGGTCCACAAATCTCGCCCTTCGCGGGAGTCGCTCGTTCGAATCGAGCCCGGGCCTTACTTCTCGGCAGATTTTATCCCCTTTTCACCGAAATCGTGCCATTCAAACAGGTTCACAGGTAATATCAGAAAGGCCCGGTAGCGGATGGTCCTGTCCCTGCATTGCGTACCTTGATCTTCCAATTCTGCAGGTGTTTGCTCGTTCGAATCGAGCCCGGGCCCTTCCGCGTTGGGGAGTTTTGTTTTTTGTTTGCGTTTTCCCCTTCGAAGAGGCCCACCGAATTCCATGCCAGGCGATACCAAAAAGGCCCGGTAGCAGATGGTCCGTCTCTGTACCCCATAGTCCGCAAACCTCGATGGTCGCAGGAGGTGCTCGTTCGAATCGAGCTCGGGCCATGCTTACGTCGGTCCCGTCATTTTTCTCCTTCCCTGTGCAATAATACTTGTCTAATTTGGAAGGCAGGTAGCCTTTAGAAGGCCTGGTAGCGGATGGTCCCCGCCTGCATCCCATAATTCACAAATTTCAGGGCTCGCAGGAGTCACTTGTTCGAATCGAGCCCGGGTCTTGTTGTAGAGGCGTGTCAATTTTTTCTCTGCTTTCCCCGTGAACTGATGCTCATCTCAGCATCTTCGCAGGTGATACAGTGAAGGCCCGGTAGCTAATGGTCCGCACCTGCGTTCCATGTTCTGAGCCCTTCGAAGTTCTGCAGAAGCCGCTCGTTCCATTCGCATATTTGGGCGAGTTTTTTCGCCTCCTTTCCTACGAAATAATGCCCATCCATCTCGTGCGCAGCTAATATCAGAAAGCCCCGGTCGCGGATGGTCCGCGCCTGCATTCTATGTCTCGGGTGTTTGGAGTTCTCTCAGTTCCTTTTGTCCCCCGAAATAATGTTTGTTTAGTTGGTGGACAGGTGATACGAGAAAGGCCCAGTAGCTGATGGTCCGCACCTGTGTTGTATGCTTCGAGCACCGCGCGGTTCTGCAGGAAGGTGTAGCAGAGGCTGCCGCCGACGTTCTTGCAATCACCACATGTGGGAACACGCTGGGGTCGCGCGCGGACAATAGCGGATGGGCGGATGCGAGGTCAGTACGAGGTGGCTCCGCAGTCCGAAGTAGGTGCGAGGTGGCAGGAACAACATAAAGTAGCCGGGGTGATTAGGGTGGCGGGCGGCCGCTGCAGGTTGACCGGGAGGTGGGCGCACGGGTGAGCGTGGTTTGACGGGAAGTGAGCGCAAGGTTGGGGGTAAACATGATGTCAGTGGGTGAAGCTATTGGAGAAACAAAGGCAGGCGTCACAGCCTTTGGAACGCCGGGCGCAGGCAGAGCGGGTCGTGAGTTGGCAAAAAAAATACCCGGCAAGGGAGGATGGCCGGCGGCTGTTAGGCATAAATAGCTAAGGTGAATGGGGAGTACTAAAAACCTCGAGGCATCGCCCCGGAGTAATTGACATTTGGGATTGACAGTTGGGCTCGAAGCTTGAAGTTCTGGATCGATCGGTCGTTTTCCCGGGAATTCCTAGGAGAAACCTCATTCTGCCCACCCCGTTTTATCAGCGGGATCAGGAAAAATCGTACCGCAGGAATATTCCAAGCACGGTACATTCCCGAATACACGGCACATTTGTTCAAGCTTGGCACATTTGCCGGGAATGTGCCGTGTAAATGAACCAACACGGCACATGGCCGCGGACCCTGATGTATCGGCTTCCCTATACAAAAATGTTTGACCTAGGACCAAAGGTGAATGAAGGAAAAAGATGTGCCATTTTTCAAGTAGTTGAATCCATAAATTACGACAATGAAATGAAGGGCTAATTCTACGTATGGTAATGTGTTTTTTTTTTCACCTCTCACATAACAGTAATAATTCCGGTTCAACGGTCTGACTAGGGAGGCTAAAGGAATACCGCCCTTTCAGCATCTATCGCTGGATATTCAATTAGACAACAGATTGTATAGAGGCGGACTGACCTTGGGAGTTCCGTAGCGTCGGACAGAACTTTGCCGATTGTGTAGACATCTTGATCTCCTCCGCAACGTTTATGTTGACCTTGTGCCGACTGTGGAGGTAGTGAGCCTCAATAAATAAGCGATTTGAACTATATTTGATCACCTTTCGACGGCCTCGATCGCGGTTAATTTAATCCCGGCCAGACAATTAGTTCAATGATGTTGCACCTCTTGTGTATTTGTCGGTGAGGGCATAGATCATTGTGACTCATGACCGAGCGCCGATGACTTGCATATTTTCCACGTCTACAGTTGTGACGAGCATATTTCCCTCCCAAGCTGAATTCTATCCTTGTTTCTTTGTTTTTTGGAGTGTTTGATATAATGAAACTCAGTCAGCGGCAGCACTGCAAGCTCATCTGCTTGTGTTGCTCGGTATCAGCCAGGCGTTTCCAGGGAGAATTGCTTAGGAGGAAATGCCGTTATGCACATGCACATGTTCAAACCACGGGACTCCGGTCGAAAGTTTATCCTATTCATTCCATGTCTATCATTTATAGGCCGCCGAGTTCTATTCTCAACGGATCCTCGTGCTCACACCCTGCGGCAATATACGCAGCCGGCGATCGAGCGAAAATATTCCGGTCTGAGGCACTCAGCTAATTTGTGCGCCTACGAACACCGAACCAAAGGTATAAAGGGTGCAATGTGGACGGTCTTCGCTCCTGTGCGAAAATGATACGCTCAACACTGCTGATTTTGGCTTTGTCGATCGCGTCCGCGGTGGGGCAGGCCGTCGAGTGGGGTCAATGCGGCGGGATAGGCTGGATGGGAGCCACCAGTCCGTTCGATTTGAATCCGCCACATTCTGCAAGTTCACTGATGTCGGTTTTCTTTTCTCGGCAGCCTGTGTTTCGGGGACCGTCTGCACGGAACTCAATACATACTACTTCCAGTGCTTGCCAGGAACCGCAACGACCACGGTATCGACTACGGTCGTTCCGCCGCCGACCAGCACCAGCAGCGCGCCGACCTCAACTGCCTCCGTTCCCGCACAAAC